TTTCCTAACCTACAAATCAATTCTGATTGAGAATTGAACAGTTTAAAAGCCATGGGGAGACCCTTCCTGGTGGTGCAGGGTTAATGCACAGCAATAAGAAGCTAAAGACACTTCAGCATGAGTTCATTCCCCGCCCCTGAGGTGATCCACATGGCCAGGCAGACCTCTCCTGACCCACCCACTATTTTCCTCAGCAGTGTACTTTGTCACTTGGCCTGTTCTGCTCCCCACTCTGTCTCAGGTGAACCCTCTCACTGCCTCTGCACCTCTGGCCTGTACCCCACTCTGTATGCAAAAATAAATACATGTTTAAAAAATTAAAGGCCATGGGGAATGTCATGCTAGCCAAGTTTTTGTGTACTTGTAGGAAATAGTAAGAGAATTCTTAAACAAATGAAAATAAGGTGTTTTTAACTACTAAGGCTTTTCCATTTTTTTTTTATTTAGATTTATTAATACATACAAGAACTGAGGTATAGGCTAGAGGGGTGAGGCAATTCAACAGAAACGGTGGGGGAGCAGAACAGGCAGACGTACTGAAATACACTGCTGAGGAGAGCAGGGGATATAGGAGAGGTCTGCTGTACCTTGTGAGTTAGTTCCTTAGTGGCAAAGGGAGCCCTTTACAAGTATTTTAGTTATGTTTGAAAGTATCATTTAAAGAGTTGATATTTCTTTACAAATCAAACTTTTCTCCACTTAGGAAAAAACACGTGATCCTAAATCATTCTGGTCATGGCACAGTTGTCTTCTATAGGTATTAACATCCTTGTCTAATTACATAACAAAGACTGTCTATATGTACTCAAAAAAAAAATTTTCCCTGAAGCTTGATTTTTGTCTTTTTTTTTTTTAAGATTTATTTATTTATGCATACAGGGATACAGGCCAGAGGTGCAGGGGCAGTGAAAGGATTCACCAGAGACAGAGTGGGGAGCAGGACAGGCCGACTGACAAAGTACACTGCTGAGGGGAGCAGCAGGCTGGTCAGGAGAGGTCTGCCGGGCCATGTGGATCACATCAGGGGTGGGGATCAAACTCATGTTGAAATGGCCTTAGCTTCCTAGTGCTGTGCTTTAACCTGATGCTCCACTAGGTAGGGCCCTGTCCATTTTTCTTTTTTTTTTTAAATCTTGTTTGATCACAGTATGTGACTAAAATCCCTGTGGTTAAGGAAAGAAATAATAGCTTGATTTTATAAGACACATATTACTGAGAAATCTTAAAATCAAGTCAGTGTATTTAAATAGTGCTTTTTTCTTCTGTCAGAATTAAAATATACCTTTGATTATATAAAAGACAATTTAAATCAGTGCATCAAATGACAAGTTCAGTTTTGGGTATTAGAAGCTGAAAAAACCTTGTAAATGTTAAGATGTGTACTACCATGTAATTAAAAGTAAACTATTGCCCTCTTGATTAGTGGAAAGTGGCATTTATTACATAATGACATTTCCCCCCTCATTTTATAAAACTTAGAGTAGTAAATAATGAAATATACAAGTGGCGATATCAGTATTTACATACAGGCTTGAAAGTCAGTAGGTTGAGTTGGAAATGAACATACCCATCACTTTTAATTTATCACTTGTAGATAGTGTTCAAAACTTGGGTGGGCCTGGTCATATGATGATAGAAATAAAAATATACAGAAAAAAGGAGATGAGTCTAGAGCCAAGTATTGTTAAGGGGACTCAACAGCTGAAGAAAAGATGGAAAGTATGTTATTTCAAGAAATGTTTCAAGAAAGCGTACGTTTTCAATGGTATGTTTAAAAAGTGCAGTGAGCCAGCGACTGAAAAGTGTGAGTTAGCAACAGAGAAATCTTTGGATGTCTTAATAAAACTATTTGATTTATTTGTATCATGGTGTGCAGCCAAGTTAGTGGGCAATGAGGAACTTGTCATTTGGGGAAAGGTGTGCAGTACAAGTTAACCATGGTTAAAGGCAAAAGATTGATCATATTGAAGTAGAAATAAGAATCCACATGAGAGAGATCCAGTAGTATAAAAACTCTTTCTCTAATCCCTGCAAAGAAATAATGACCATAGAGACCAGAGTTCCTGACTTTTATTATTTTCTATGTCCTCAGAAAAATGTTCAGCTCTTCATGATTTTGTCTCTCCAAGTTTCTCCTCTTCTCATAGCTTCTATCCAGAGCCTATCTACAGTCTCTACCCAGGCTCTTTATCCCTGGCCCTTTTCCTAAGATCCAGTCATGAATTTTTCAACTGCCTGATTGAGTTTAGCTTCTCAAATTCAACATGTTTAACTGTAGTAATCAATTCCTTTCTGGCTGACATTAATTTACTTACTTTCTGTCATTAGGGAACCCTTCCCATTACTGTTGTGTATTCTGTCTGTTCTATATTCTTTTTTGTATTCTTACCCCCATTTTTCAATCCTTGCTTGTCTACCTCATTTAATATGGTATTGACCGTAAAAATCATTATTTTTATTTGACTTTCTTTATGAAAAAAAAAAGAAAAAGAAGACACAAACCTGTAATTTTTTGAAAATAGTAGGTAGATTGAATATAGTATTTACATACTTTTATATTAACACAATTTATAATTCATGATAGTAAATGTCAATTTCTTGATAATGTTTTTTGTGTCTATGGACAGAATGCCATATCAAAAAATGTCCTTATTACTCTGAAACTAATATATTTTAAACAAAGAAAATAGTGTATTCCACTTTCGCTTCCTGATATCTCAGGAAATTAATACAGCAACAAACCCAAAATAATTATATAGTTTAATAAAACCTTGAATTTTTGACTTTTGACTTGTATTTGAGAGATTAATGCACAACTTTTATAAACACTTTTTAAAATAGCTATCAGAAAATGATGAGGAAGATAAACTTTATATGTACCTATCTTTATTTTTGAATGCTAACCCATATACACTGGAAAATCTTACATTGTTTTAAATACGGTTGATTATGGTTTGGTGGAAACCAGCTTTATTACTCTTAGATTTGCATCTTTGAAGTGAAATGCTGATAATCTCCTACATCAGAAATTATAGGATGGTAGGGCCTTCCTTGGTGGTGCAAGAGATTAAAGCATAGCACTAAGAAACTAGCCACAGCCGCTTCAGTGTGAGTTCAATCCCCAGCCAACAATGTGACCCATGTGGCGAGGCAGACACTGCTTCCCTCAGTAGTGTACTTTATCATTCTGCCTGGCCTGCTCCCCACTCTGTCTCTGGTGAATCCTCTTACCACCCTGCATCTCTGGCCTGTACCCCAGTTCTGGATGCAAAAATAAATAAATGTTTAAAAAAAATTGGGGATGCTCACATGCTTTTGCACTGTTAAAAAGACATCCGCATCAAAACTTAGCCTTGGAAAAAGTAGCCTCATTGTGTACATATATCTTTAGTGGTTTTTTTTTGATAGAGAAGATCTATTTGTATATGTTACAGATGTTTTCTCATACAGATATTTAAAATTTTTCTTTACCAATTTAACTGAAGAGTGCTAAATACCCTGGAGTGAAGCAGTTGAATGGGAGTGGTTCTGGATATTGTCAGCCTCTTAGATTACAAACATTTATGATGGAGTAGTGGTAGCTATAAAATCTTGTTATAAGGGAAATTATTGTAATTTATATTTTTTAGAACTTGTCTTTTAAAAATGTGTGAATTATTAGTAGTGGTTAACATTAAAGTTGTCTTAAGGGCTTAGTAATCTTAAAATGACTTATTTTCATGTGTTTCTCATAGTTGAAGTTACAGCTACTCCTGTTAATGCAGATAGTAATGCAAAATTAGTTTGATGATTTGATTTCTTTTCTTAGCATCATCAAAATACCTAGGTAAAATAATTTTGAAATACACTTACAGAAAGCATTGCAACTGACTTAACAGATAATTTTTTTTTCCTATAAGAAGAATTAGCAATAGTTAAATAGTTTTTAAGAGCCGATGTAGGATGATAGCATTTTTGAAAAGCTTATAAAAATAATGAAATTAAGTGGAATTAAATAAGTCTACTTGTCTAGTAGCTATTAGTCAAGGAACAAATGAAAATTTGGATTATCACATGGATTTTGTTTATTTATGAAAAAAACCTTCTGAATTCAGTAGGCAGTATGAACATTTGAAAATTGCTTTTGAAAAAATGATGTTGGAAATCTGACAGTTTTTAGGGTTGGATAGTTAATTCAGTTGGCTCTTCTGCATTTAAAGAATGAATGCTTCAAATATAGTTTTATGTCCTGCCTTGGAAATATAGGTGGAAGAACTATGGGAATAGTGTTACTTGGCAAAATTTTCTAAAGCTGTAATTTTTTTTATTTTCTAACATCTCTTTGCACCCCTCAGTACTCTATAACTAATGAGGAAATTTGTTCTGTGCCTTGGGTGTGTTGGCATAAAACAAAAGTTGAGAGGAAAAGTAGAGTATAAAAAACTAGAATCAGACACAAAATGAAAAAACCACATAAGAAAAACAGTATTTGTGGAAATGCATTGTTGTCAAGGTGAGAACAAAGGGCACTGACTAATTGAATGCTGATAAAGACCAACTTCAAGGAGCTGTGAGTGACCGTTGGAATCTGTGTGAACCTGTTGTCATGAATGAACTATTAAAGGGAAAAGTAGTCAGTGGTGATGAAAAAATGTTTTAAGTTGTTAAGAGTTGAAATTTGAACTAGAGAGGTTTGAATTGATTTATATAGCTAGCTTATAAATTAAATATTGAAATAAATATTCATTGTGTCCTTCAGAATCTACAAATGCATAATTTAAACTGGAAATTACAAATGAGCTTACTGGCATTTAAAGTTTAAAAAACTTTAAACTCAATATTTAAGGCATTCTTCCACTTTATTGTTTTACCTTTCCTCAGGAAAATACTCAGAAATCCTTGATTCTTGGAAATTGGTGCCATGTCCTAAATGTGGCTAGTGTATTTCATTGCTTGTTTTTTGAGGTAATAGAAAATTTTAAATGTTTTTAAACATAATGCACATTTCTTTTTATTACTAGGAGCCTTTTGAGGATGGCTTTGCTAATGGAGAAGAAAGCACACCAACCAGAGATGCTGTGGTCACTTATGCTGCAGAAAGTAAAGGAGTTGTGAAGTTTGGCTGGATCAAGGGTGTATTAGTATGTATATACAGACTTAATTTTACATTTACAGTATTCTGTTTATAAAATCTTCCTAACATTCTCATCAATTCTTAAGAATAATCTTTCTCACTTTAAGCTAAGTGTTAATAGAAGGTCAAATTAATATCAATTTGTACTTAATGTTCGTCCTTTCCTACACTTTAATTATGGGTATTAAATTCATTAAATTAAATACATATATTTGTTAAATTAATCAAATCACAATGATTAGCTCTAAGTTAAATTTCCTCTGTCACTATCACATATTGTCACTTTTCAGTATGAAACTGTAATAGTCAGAATCAAGAAAGCAGGACAGGGAATAGAGTTGAAATAAACTTGCTTCCTGACCCACAATCACATTATATTTTGAAGAGAAATGAGTGGAAGTTAATATGTTTTACAAAAAAGGAGAAGTTGTTTTCTTAAGCACTGAGATCACTAAATGAGGTTTAGAAATATGATTAGGGGCCCTCACCAGTGGCACAACAGATTATAAGTGCAGCACTATGAAGCCACAGCCACTTCAGCAAGAGTTCTGTCCCCAGCCAAGGAACTGACCCACATGGCATGGCAGACCTCGCCTCTGTCACCTGCTGCTCCCCTCAACTGTATTTAGTCAGTCTGCCTGTTCTGCTCCCCACTCTGTCTCTGGTGAAATCTCTCACCGTCCCTGGCAAATCCTCTCACTGTCTCTGGCCTATACCCCAGTTATGTCTGCATAAATAAATAAAGCTTTAAAAAAATAAATATAACTAAATTCCAGATTTACTAATATTTTTCTGTACTTAAATAGCCAATACAGTAGACATGCTAAAATGACCTCTCATTGGGAACAATTTAATTAGAGTTGTATGGTTATGGAGGAGAGAAGAAGGAAAATAAAAGCTGTAATAGTTTCATGGCCTAATCAATAGGACCAGTGTGAAATTCCAGGTATTATTATTTGCCTGTTCTTAGATTTTAGTAGTTTGAAAGACTCTGCTCTGGGCTGTCCCTGATGGCGCAACAGGTTAAGGCACTGCACTGTGGGGCTCTCTGAAGCTACTGTAGTGTGAATTCGGTCCTCAGTGAGGGAGTTGGTTCACATAGTGTGGTGGACCTCTCCTGAACCACCCGCTTCCCCTCCACAGTGTACTTCAGTGGATTTGCCTGTTCTGCTCCCCACTCTGTCTCTGGTGAATCCTCTCACCCATCATACATCTGGCCTGTACCCCAATTCTGTAAACATAAATAAGTAAATCTTTAAAAAAAAAAGTAAATTAATTAAAAAAGGACTATGTTGTGTGTATCAGTGTAATAAATGTAAATATCAATTGGAGAAGCTACCTTAAAAATAGTTTAGATTTTTAAAAAATGTGTAAGCAATTTTGTGTTGACATATAGTATGAAATATCTTACTGTAGAAATCATGAAATGAAGATATTGTAAAGGGTTAAGCAAAAATGAAACTGCATTGTTAAGGTGTATCATGAACTTTCTTCTTTTACAGCTACAATCTTAAAATATTCCTTGTACCTTTTTTAGTTGTATCTGCTGTTTTAGGTAATTATGATGGATAGGTGGTATGTATACATAGACAATCACATTATACTTAGATCTTTTTTAAGTTTTCACTAAGCTCTTTTAAAAAACCATTAAAGGGTGGGATTAGTGTTAGATTTAAAATTTCTGTAGTTTCTGATGTTAGTTATCCTATTTCTGAACAGTTCAGTATTTACTCCTGTATTATATTTGATTACTTTTCTTCATCTGTGACTTGGCTTCTTTTTCCTCCATAGGTACGTTGCATGTTAAATATTTGGGGTGTGATGCTCTTCATTAGATTGTCATGGATAGTAGGTCAAGCTGGAATAGGTATGTGAAATTGTTTGATTTCAGAATAAATAATCAAAATAACTGTCTAGATTTTCATCATAAATTTTAAGCAACTGGAGTCATTCTAAGCCATGTTCTTCTTTGTGTCAGGTTTTTGACTTAATGTTCTCTTTTAAAAATTTTGATTGCTTTTTTTTCTAAAGAGGAATCAAAATTAGGTTATAATGTGAATTCAGAATATCATAGTAGATGGTTAACATATAGGCATTATAAATGGTTTAGATGTAGGTAGCCTTAAGTAATCATTCTAAGTGCTTCTTTTTCTCTAAAGGTTTGTCAGTTCTTGTAATAGCGATGGCTACTGTTGTGACAACGATCACAGGATTGTCTACTTCAGCAATAGCTACAAATGGATTTGTACGAGGAGGTAAATTCAGTTTTTTCACTTAATCATTAAATATTTAATAATATGTGGTACACACACACACAAGACCATAAAAATATGTGACCTTGAGGACAATAAATCAGATATAGAAAGACAAACACTGTATAATCTCATCTCTGCCAACCTCAGAAACAAGTAGAAAAGTACTTGGGAGGTAGGGGAAATGATGAGATGTTCTTTAGTCAAAGGTACAAACTTTCATTTCCAAGTAGAAAAAGTTCTGGGGATATAATGTATGGAATGGAAAGTGTAGTTAACTGTATTTCATACTTGAAAGTTGTTAAGAGAGTAGATGTCTAATGTTACCATAACAACAAAATGGTTATTATGTGAGACAAGGTATATGTTAACCTCACTCGCTAATAAACATTTCACTATAGAGGTATATCTAATGATTACATTTTAGAGCTTACATATGTATTTATGTCACCATATCTCAGTAAAGCAGGGGAAAAATTAAACCACCTGTGTGGGTCTCTTTCAGACTGTGCTGGTCCATTATCTATAGATTGAACCTTGATCCGGTACCATACTATCTTGGTACTGAAGTTGTAATTCTTGAAATTGTCAGTGTGAAATTTTTGTTCTTTTTCAAAATTGTTTTGGCAATTCTTTTGTCTTTCCACTTAAACTTTAGAATCACCTTGTCAAATTCTGTGAAATATCTTGCTAAGATTTTGATTGGGATTTTATTAATCTAGAGTTCAATTTGTAGCCTATTAACATCTTAATTACGTTTTGCTTTCCACTTTTCCAAACTATTTAGTATGTTCAAAGTTGCAAATATACATCTTGCAGGTATTTTTAGGTTTGTACTTAGTATTTCTTGTTTTTTCTCGCTATTTTAAGGTTACTTTTTAAGTTCTAGTTTCTAATTTTTCATTTATAGTATATAGAAATAGGACGATTTTTTATATTTAGCTCATAACATGTCTGTACTAGTCAGCACCTTCCAGGGACACAGAACCAATAAGAGATATGATTTTAAACATTTGATTCCCATGAGTATAGAATGAAGGTTAGCATATCAAAAAATCTGCAGGGTGCCAGATGTGTGCAGATCTAGAGAAAAACTAATGCAGCATTTCAGCTATGAAGACCATCAAACTGAATGTCCAGGAAAGAGCTGATATTACGGTAGCCTCGCTGGTGGTATAAGAGTTAAATACAGCGCTATCAAGCTATCACCAGCAACTGCAACTCCTGTTTGACCCCCAGTCCAGCCAGGGAGCCGACCCAAATAGCACAGACCTCTCCTGTCTCATCCTCTGCTCCCCTCAGCAGTGTATTTTAATAGATCTGCCTGTTCTCTCCACTTTCTTATGAATCCTCTCAACCCATACACCTCTGGCTTAACATCCCAGTTCTTGTATGCATTAGTAAATAAATCTTTTTAAAGAAAACCTGGTATCACAGTTGAAGTCTGAAGGCCATCTGTCACTGAATTTCCTCTCTTAAGGGGAGGTCTGTATTCTATTTAGTCCTTCAGCTACTTAAATGAGGCCCATGCCCATATTGGAGGGCAAGAGTTCAACAAATTTAATCCTTATTCAAAATACCCTCATAGAAACATCTGGAATAATTTGTGTAGGTACCAGGGCACAACCTAGGTGGTAAACAAAATTAATTCTCATAACCTCACATTGCTAACTTATTTTGTACTACTCTTTGAAGGCATTGCATTTTTATAAGTGTTCAGATTTCATTTTATTCAGTTCTTATGCATACCTGGGCAATGAGGATACCCTACACCACAGGCTTTCTGTGATCTTCCAAAAATATTGGATAATACGCTTTCTTGTCCAGTTTTTTTAGTGGTTACAATAAAATTGAAGTATTTTTCACATTAATTTAAAACATTCATTTTAGTAGACAGAAACAGCTATGTGCTCCTAACCTCTGCCCTGTATGTTTTTTTCCTTAGTTTTTATAGATATATATAATTGATTTACAGTATATGTTTAAGGGTGTAGTGAATAACTGAATTAGATATATTGTGAACTGATTATCATAATAAGTTAACATCCATCATATTATACAGGTACAAAAAAGGCAACAAAAAATTTCTTGTGAACTGTGAGAGATTTTTGTTCTTTTAGCATAGTAACTAATCAAACATCCAGGATGCCGGCCCTCCCTGGTGGCGCAGCGGGTTAAAGCACTACACTTAAAAAGCTAAAGCCACTTCCTCATGACTTCGATTCCCGCCTGCCCCGGAGGTGACCACATGGCATGGCAGACCTCTCCTGACCCACCTGCTGCTCCCTTCAGCAGTGTACTTCGTCGATCTGCCTGTTCTGCTCTGCACTCTGTCTCTGGTGAAGCCTCTCACCCTCCACATCTCTGGCCTGTACCCCAATTCTGTGTGCACAAATAAATCTTAAAAAAAAAAAAATCCAGGATGCCTAGTCAAAAGATAAAAAATACTTTACCCGTCTTCTGCCTATAGGTTTTTGTCTTTGCATTTATTATTTTTAAAATAATAAGTTCACTCCAGTTTTATGTGTTCATAATCATTGTATCTGAAAATGCCCCTACTACAAATTTGGTAAATGTAGTCTTAGTTAAAAATATCAGGTTTTTGCCTGTGGCCACAAAAATTCAAAATGCTTAATCATGAGTGAAGTGAAGATAAACACTGAATACTGCACACTAACCAAGTGTTCCTCTGGAACTCTGATTAGTGGATTTTTTATAAATATTTTAAAATGGCAAAATAATTTCAATGGCATAGCTTATTAAAAAGTGAGGTATCCAATCTATGGACTTCAGTTTTAAAAAAGCAAATTTAGGATAAGATCTTCTTTTCATTAAATGTTAAAGACTTTACCCAAATTCTTGTAATTCTTGTACCATTCTTGAAAGTCTGTATTTTAAGTAATGGAAAAAAAGATTTTTAGTATTTTAGTACATTTTAGAAAGACTTTTAATAAGGCTTTATTTTCCCTGGC